CATCATCATCACCTATATATTTGTTATCAGTTTAACATATTTCTTCACTCTTTTTACTCGATAAAATATGCTGAAGTCTATGGAGATTAATTTATGTATTAATTTGTTTTACTAAAGAAGGGTCATACTATGGATATCAATCTGGAAGTTGCATTTTTCACTTTACAATATGTAAAATGACCATCCACCAAGGAAGCAAATATTTCTAGATCATGTTTAAAAATAATGATATGATATTTCATGGTACCATCCCATAATTTACTCAACCATTCTCTTATCTATGAAAAATAATGAATTTCCTCTCCAATTTTTTCACCACAAATATTTTGAATTAAACATAACTAGAATATAGTTGATCCTTACACATTAGTGTTTACATTTTTTAAAGCAAAGCAACCAAAAGCCCAATTTGCTAAATGAAAAAAATATCTATATTTTGGGTACTAATAGATACTGATGTTGCTTATTCCAAATTAAACAATTTATTATTCTATCAGCAGCATATGAGAGTATTCATTTCCCCAGATCTTCACTAACATTTGATATTATATGTGGATATTTAAAATTTTTTAATCTAATATGTGTTTTAAAAATTGTTTCATTAATGTTTTAGTTTATAGTTCTCTGAATACTAGTGAAAAGAGATACATTTTTCTTTGTCTGATAAAGATTTGTATTTTTTCTATTTACTGCCTCTTTATATTTATCATATATGTGGAAAAGTTTTATTTTTTAGTCTATTTTTCTTTTCTTGACTTTTGTTGGTTATTTAAAATGTGTCTAATGAAATATATTTTTCTTTTCTTTATGGTTTCCGGTTTTCCTGTTCTGCTTCTAAGCATGTTCTCTTCTGAAATTATGTATTCTCTTTTTTCTATTTATAATTTTTAAAATATTTATTTTAAAATCCTTAAGGGAATTTAAACATTCAGGTTCTACATTTTAACAGAATTCCTAAATGCTTTTACTCAAAACAGTGACTAATATGGGAACTTCAGATTTGATGGCAGTAATGCAAGATTTCTTTAAAAAGACATTAATCCTATTAGCAGTTGGTATTTGTTACTAGAAGCTTATCTGACCCAACCTGTAAGGCATCTTGTAACACTATACAAAATGGACCAGTTTCCTGAGACTGTATCTTTGCAGCTTAAATCATAAATCCTTAATAGTCAATATCTGTTTAGCACTTTATAGTTTGCAATGGTCTCCTGCATCCATAATGAATGTGCTTATGCGGGGCACGGCAAATAAAATGATACACATACCACTGTTATACCTCCCACCACCTGAGAGGAGGGACAGGGGATTCAGAGAGGTGAACTGATTTGCTCATGCCGTAGACCTTAGTCCAGATTTCCAGATTCCAAGTTAAGAACAACACACCATTCCACTGACTGGACAAAATTTCAAAGAGATCTATGAGTTTCACTGGGATAGTAAATGACTGAATATATATATATATATATATATATTAACAAAAAGCAGATTCAGGGAATGATGTTGGTAGGAATGAAAGAAGGTGCGTCTACTGCCATCCCCTATCATGCTGAACAAATATAGGCCTTTAAAAGTTGAAAGAGGGGGTATTTACAGGAGTCTTCCTGCATCTACTTTCGCCCTAAATCATGCCACACAGAGAAAGCATACTTTGTCAAAGCAAGAAACACACTGTCAGTCCCTTTCTAACATTTGGTGCAGGTTTGAGTGCAAACCTCAGCACTCAACTGTATTTCTATTGGACTGTATTGCATACTCCACTGCCGGCTCCATGGGTGGCTGCTAGAAATAGTGCTGAGAGTGCCTGGCCCATACTGCTTCATTCATGACTGAGCTGGGCTTAAGAGATACCTGATTTAATGCCCTCATTACTTATCTCTGGAGGAAATCCAGCCACAGCAAACACAAGGACGATGCATAGCAACAGATGCCGAATAATAACAGTATGCAAATAGTCTTGGAAACGGATTCTGGTCCAACTGAACAGGGACTAGAGAGCCAGAGGGGGCCTAATGAAAATCAGGCAGCGAGCTTCAAATCATGGCAAGCATCACAGCACTTGCTTTCTCCTAGCTGGTTGGTTGTCATAGAAACCTGTGTTTGTAGAGTTTCTGAGCACATTAGCTCAAAGAGGATGCTTACATTATCCTATCCCAGGGTTGCTGGGGCAGTAGAATAATTCAGTTCTATTAAATAAATATTTGCTGAGGGCCTACTATGTGAGAGACTTCAGGGGATACACAGGTGAATGTGTGGTCCCCTCTTTGAACTGCCTGACTCGCAGGGGAGGCCTGACAAGAAGACAGATGGCTATAATGGAATGTGATTAGCACACTAACACAGGTGGGAACACAGAGAGAAGAACAATTAATTCTTCTTGGGGGATGTTGGGGACTTACGGAGTGGAGGTGACATTTGAGCAGGGGTTTATGTGAAGAATTAGAAAGAGTTTGCTAGTAGAAAACTGTGATGAACATTCTAGGGAATAGCTTGAGCAAAGCCATGGAAGCTTGGCAGGTTACGAAGAATGCTAAGTCTCATATACAAATCCAACTTTATGCCATAATGAGTTTTGAGAATTACAGTCAAGAATTCTTAATGCATTCTTCACCACTTCCAAATGTGTTGATTAGCATCCTCTTAAGCTAGGTTGAAGTTATCATAGCATTGACTAAAAGGGTTTGCTAAGCAAGAAAATAACAAAGTTTATCATGAAGGATATTTATCTTCTTAAAGAAAAAGAGCTATTTTAAAGCACTTTAGGAAAACATATTCATCAACATAAAAGGCTTTTGAGTTAGATAAACCTGGGTTAGATTGTCAATCTTAATACTTAGTAAGTAAATGATTGTGGACAAGTTACTTGCACATTTTCAAATCCTCCTTTTTTTGTTGTTTTTGTTTTGTTATATGTACACTAGAGGCCCAGTGCACAAAAATTTGTGCACTTGATTGGGGGGGGAATCCCTCAGCTCTCAGCTCGGCCAATGCCCTCTTGCAGTCTGGGTCCCCTCGGGGGGATGTTCACCTGCTGGTTTAGGCCCACTCCCTGGGGGATCAGGCCTAACCTGGCAGTCAGACATCCCTCTGGCAGCCCGGCAGCCCTCAGGGGATGTCCACTTGCCAGTGGGGACCAGGCCTAAGCTGCAGTCAGACATCCTTAGTGCTGCTGAGGAGGGGGGAGAGGTTCCTGCCACCACCGCTGTGCTGGCAGCCATCAGTCTGGCTTATGGCTGACCAGAGCTCCCCCTGTGGGAGTGCACTGACCACCAGGGGACATTTCCTGCATTGAGTGTCTGTCCCCTGGTGGTCAGTGTGTGTCATAGTGACCAGTCATTCCCAATCGTTCTGCTGTTAGGGTCAATTTGCATATTACCCTTTTATTATAAAGGATAGAGGCCTGGTGCACCAGTGGGGGCCAATTAGTTTGCCCTGAAGGATGTCCCGGATCAGGGTGGGGGTCCCGCTGGGGTGCCTGGCCAGCCTGGGTGAGGGGATGATGGCTGTTTGCAGGCTGGTCAAGCCCCCCAGTGAGGACCCTCAACCTGTGCGGGTGTGGCCAGCCTGGGTGAGGGGCTGAGCGGTTAATTTGCATATTACTTTTTTATTAGATATGATTGGAGATAAAATTTTCATTATAGAATTACTTAAAAAAATTTTTAAATCAAGTACCATATTCCAAGTGCTTGGAACATTGTTAGTCACAAAGCAGTTACATAACATTTTAAACTGTTTAAAAAAATAATAATAATTTCAGTCACTTAGATACTTTTGGTATTCCTTTTATGAAGCCTTGGAGGTTTTGAATAAATCTCTGGTATATAAAATTAATCAGTATAATGCCATTTTAGAGCTTGAAAGTGGTCCAAGTCAATGTCATTTGTTTACAGAGGAGACAAATAACTTAAAAGATGACATTTCTGATATACAGGTACATAGCTGGTAGTGGGGAAGCCTGATCCACAAATGGGGATTCCAGATGGAATCCAGTGTTCTTGCCACAGAACCGCTGCTGACTTTCTCACCATTACCCATCATTAAAGCGGATGTCCCAACAGGCAAGCCTCAGGAAGTCAAGTTAGGGAAATGAATATGTGCCTGACAGTAATATAATTTCTTCCACTCAATTGGTCCAAATGATTGAAGTTTAGCTTTTCACGCAAAACTGAAGTAAATAATAAATTGTTCTATATAAATATTAACACAGAATTCATTATGTTCTCTCAAGAGGAAAGTTGCATAATTGTGTGCAATGCTTGTCTTAGCTTGGTGACACTTGTAATGTCAAAAATCATCCACAGAACAGATAAAAATAATATACTCTAACATCTAAAAGGAAAGGGTTTGTATTTGAGTTAGCTTAAGCTGTGTGTAAGTACTGTTGACACTATTTAGACCTCTTCTACTTATTGGTATCTAAGTAACTAACACCGATACAGAGATGGGCAGTGCCTTCCAGGGATGCCCCAGCTGGGGCAGCATCCCACTCCCTCCAGCTGACAGTGCCCCCTACAGTGGGTGTGGGAAACTATGTGGACAGCATAGCAGTCTCACCTCTGCCTCCCTGTCTCCTGAGTTATCCTAAGAGATACTGCCTCCACTTCTCTGGACTGCTTCGCACAGGGTCATATCTCAGTTATTCCACCTCAAGCAAATTCTTCCACCTGAAGTACTCAGACAAACAACTTCTTATTAATCATTAACACTCTTTGAGCTCTTGCACAATAGTCAATACTATCCAAAGGAATAATTAAGGTAACAATGAACTAAAACAACCCTATAGAATAGATACCCAGTATAATTATCTCCACTTTCAGATGAAGAAAACAAAGTTAAGTAAGCTAAATAACGTATAAGTGACAGCATCGGGATCTGAGTCTTTGCTCAGAATTAGTTTGGCTATGACAGCAGCCTCGGCATTTACTGTATTGAGAAGATGTTGGTTTCCTTATATGTTTTCCTTGTGGACTAATATTGAAACGTTGACTCTCAATTGGTAGCAATCAGTTAAGCTGCACAACCTTGTGGAGGATCACAACAAAGTCCAGGTCACAATCACTGTAAAAGGCAAAGGTAAGTGAAATGGCTTCTGCTATTGTTAGCATGATAATATTTCAGGGTGGAATCGGTCTCATTTATTATTATTAGCCCATGAGAAAAAGGCTTTTCTGACTGAACCCAGGACTGGGGCTAAAGTGAGGCAAACAAGGCATCTAAGATGCAAAATTTAAGAAGGCAAGATCATACAAATGCTGACCTCTACCTGCATGGCTCATCCTCATCCCAGCCCAGATTAAACCGTTCTTACCCCATGTATGGGTTGCTTCAGATTTCCTCTACCCTCCATATCTCAGTTATTTAAATATTACTGGATAAGCCTTCCTATGGCTTTTTAATTTTCCTAACTAACTATTCCAATAGACCCTGCATCAGACAGTTTGATCTGTCATCCAGAACACAAGCCTGAATGAAGCTTGTGGATGGCTGGCTGGACACTGGCATTGGCTCTGGACTCAGCCTGGGGAGCGGGAGGTGGCCGTGGCTGTCTGTGAGGAATGAGGAGCTGTGTCTGGGGCAGCAGAAGCTGTCTGCAAGGTTTACACTCGTTCCCATTCAAAGGAAGGAGTGTGCCGCAGGGGGTCAGGAACTCAGCCAAAGAGGGTAAGCAGCAGCAAAGAGGCAGTCTTTTCTGTTGACCAATGTCCTTGAATGACTTCTCTGGGCAGAGCACTGTCCCAGGGACTAGGATCAGGCTGAGGTCTTGTTGCTGAGCTGGCCCTTTGCTATGGCCCAGGAATCAATTCCCTCGTCCCGGTTCCTGGGAATCTGTGATTGAGTGGAAAGGGGCTGGGGCAGGTGAGCACCCTGGGTAGTTCTTGCCAACAGGCTGACATGAGTTTGCAGTCCCTTTCATTTTTAAGTAAGAACAGGAGAAGGTCAGCTAGTCATGGAAACTCTGCTCTTGTGTAGGTGAGCAGGAGCTGGAATCCCGCCTCTTGGTTCCTGGAGATGCCCTCATTCTACCAGGAAAATGCTCATTGCCATGCGATGCTATTCTGATTGACGGGAGCTGTGTGGTGAACGAAGGCATGCTCACAGGTAGGCAGCTATCATGGAGCTTCTTTTTCCTGTCCAACAACTAGGCCAAGTGTTAGCAAAGCAGACCAGTGTATACACACTGCCTTATACCAGGCCCATGCTAAGCAGTGATGGAGGGGTGAGGGAGACACAGTATATGCAAATAGTAAACATTTAACAATAAAAGAATCAAGCCATGAGAAATACAAAACTAGAAGAAAAAAAACACCTAATACAACATGTGATTAATTAATTGCCTGATGGGTGGCGTGAATAGGATGAGTTGGGTTCGGAGGAGGGTGGGGTCACTACACTGTTTGATGCACAATCTCTTCATAAATATGAGAATGGTTTTTATTTTTATCCAAACAAAACACAACCCAAAACTACCAAATCTCACAACTGGCAGGGCGCAAAGATTTTATCCAGCCCTGCTCTCTGTAGATGGAAATCTGAATCCCAGGTGTCACTGGAAGGAGACTGAGTTGTACCTTTGGGGAAAGGCAGTGTAATGGTTCTGTTCTTTAAACATGTGTTTATTTGTTTATTTTTTTAAGAGAGCAGAAGGGAGAGGAAGAGAGAGATGGAAACACCAATGATAGAAACATCATCCATTGGCTGCCTCCTATATGCCCCATACTGGGGATTGAGCACACAACCCAGGCATGTGTCCTGACTGGGAATAGAACCAGTAAACTCTTGGTACATGGGATGATGCTCAATCCACTGGGCAACACCGGCCAGCAATAGTTCTGTACTTTAGAATCATATTTCTAGATGATCTCACTGAACAGAAAGCCAGTTTTCTAGTTATGATTTAAACTGTCCTTGTTCTCATTTGTATTTTGTAAAGTCCACTTGAATTTGTGTAATTAGTAAAGCTCTATTTGCAAAATATTTTTTAGGCAAACACACAGAGAGAGAGAGAGAGAGAGAGACCTAATGAGAGAAGAAGAGATTCTACAGCAGCACAGAAATAGAAACTATTTGTCTTTTGTGCTTACAAATTGTTGCATTTTTCTGTTTCCAAATTGCTAAAGACATGAAAACATACACACACGCACACACACACACACACACACACACACACACACTTTTTAACATCACCTAAATGTAAAGGGAGTCATTATCTATTCCTAAATTGTTTAACACAAGCTGGTTTCAAATTAAAAATGAGTCTGCTTAATTTAAAATTGAGAGAAGAAAATGTGGTAAACACAAATATATTCAATTTAATTGCAAAATAACCCTTTAATCTGCTGAAATCTAACTTTCTTATAATGACAGTGATGAGGTTTGCATGTTAATCATATCCTTCATCCGGGATGTTGCCATAGTACCCACTGTGCAAACCTTAAGCCCAAGAACTGTCCTCCTCACTCAAAGGCAGTGACTGTCACATTTCCCAGCAGCCTGCCCATGAGGAATGGCTTCCCTCATTGGTGACAGAGCCTGGTTGTGAAAAAACAAGGTAGGGTGGGAAGCAGTATTTACTCGCCTGAGTCTGACTCGGTGTGGAGTTCTCGCCTGGATTCTGAGGAAAACTCAGAGAGTTCCAGAGAAGTAGAAATGGTAAACAAAACTCTCCTTCAATAAATGTGCAAAATTGACCTAAAGTCACCTTAAATAGTAAGTGACTTTTCCTAGGGTCTGTTTCTAAAAAAATAAAGTCACCAGCATTAATATCTATATAACTTAAGTACTGATACAAGTAAATTTCAGAGACAGACACATAAAACAGAAATATTGCTTTCTCATTCATTGCTTCAAAAAGAGCTAAGTACCACCATGCTCTAAATACTTGATCACACAGCCTACATAGCTCTTTCCACTCATGTACATATTTGTGGAAAGGATGCTGATTGAACAAACAGATTAGGGTTAACTTCCTGAAAGTGAAAATGTATTCCTAGAACATTGCTCCACAAATGTGACTCAGGTAGTTTCCCCCATTTGCAAAATAGACCTTTACATATGTAGAAGTCTTTATTTTATGTAAGAACAGCAAATACTCCTAGCATCTTCATACATTTTACAAATAACTTTTACATATCACTTCACTGTGGCGTAAAACAAATTGACTAGGAACTATTATAATACCCAATTTACAGATGAGGAAATTGAAATGAAAAGATACTAGGGCTGCTCAGCTAGCAAGCGAGAGAATTAGAATTGGAAAAGGAATTGGCATTTGTTCTCAGTCAGAAGGGGCCATAGGAGTGAGGAGGAGGATTCTAAGGTGAGCAAAGTTGCTGCTGTGATTTTTTTGTGATTGCCTCATCTCCTTTTTCCCTCAGCTGGGTATTCCCATCCATAGCACATGCCTGTTGTAAGATCTCCCTCCTCATCATCTCCTTAGCCTCATCCTATTGCATTAAGCTCAACTAAGCAGGAAGCTTCACTTTATTTTATAGCTACATGTAATTATTATTTTGGTTCCAAATTCTGCCTCCCTTGGAAGTATGCATTGTGAAGTACCTGGTATAAATCAAACAGTTACCCCCATGAATTTGAGGTCCTTCAGATCCTAGTCTGGCTGCTGATGTTGTGCAAGGCATTGAGGAAGGGGATCTAGTCTAGGGAAGCCCATCCTTTCTGGTGCCCCCACTTCACTCTGGGCTTGGGAAATGTCTCAGGCTTATCTACCTGGAAAAGGAAGCAGATCCAGGTGCCTTTGGCTCTTGGTTTCCACAATCCAAGTTTCCTTTGGATTTTCTTTCAGCTGCCTTTCCAGGGATTTTTATTTAGCTAGCAGAGTAGTAGGAGAAAGGGGAAAGCTTTGTTCTTACTCTCTAAAATTTATGATCAAACTTATGAGTGACTTTTGAAACCAAAAAACTAGTTCTCTACTCCTCTGTCCTTTGTTTCCTGCCTCTTGAGACAATGGTGCCTTTTAAGATCTAGCTCCTCACAAAGCAGTCAAGAGGCAAAAGGGAATACCATGGGGGAAATCCTATCAACATTTTAAAAATTTCTCTTGGCAAAATAGCTGACTCTTCTTAGTTCTTATATGTATTAGACACTGTGCCAACATTTTACGTGTGTTATTTCATTCAATCCACAGCTATATAACGGTGGGAGGACCTAAGGCTTAGAGAGAGTGAGTAATTTGCTTAAGGTCACAAGGCTTAGAGGTGGTGGTGCTGATATTTAAGTTTCTTTGTGTATTTGTTCATTCATTCATTTCACAAAGGTTTTAGTAGCCCTTACTATGGAGCAAACACTCTACCAGATGCTGGGGATACAGCAGGGAGCAAGGCAGATAAGATTTCGGCCCTCCTGGAGCTGACATTATAGTGGGAGATAGAAAATATGAAAATAGGTAAATGACATAAGTTTCCAACAGTTGAAAGTTTTATGAAGAAAATAAAACACTTAAACCCAGACATTTTGACCTCAGAACCTGTGCTTATAACTACTGCTTCCTCATTCTCTTAGGAATAATTGGGGTGGGAGGAGGGGAAGGAGGAGGAGTAGTCACTCTGCCACAATCTCCTTCCTTCTCCGTCAGAGAAGGAAGAACTACTGATTTATTTGAAATGCATGTGAGGGGAGTATGCATGATCCAAGTTAGACACAGCCGGGAGTGGGGCCAGAAGTTCCCACCCTGTAGCTGCTTGCTCATTCACTTACTTGCTCATTCATTCACTTACTCGCTCATTCATTCACTCACTCATTATTCACTCACTCGCAAACCCTCTCAGGTCCCTGGCACCAGGCCAGGCACTGAAGGTGAAGCAGGATAAGACAGAGCTATGTCCTCAAGATGTTAGTAATTCAGTGGGGCGAAGCAGACACATGAACGAGGCAGTTGTATGCACAGATGCAGTGTACTGGGTTCGGTGAAGGCTGTAACTAATGCCGACTTTGTTCTCTTGATAAAATGGGGCCTCGGGAGCCAGGCCACCCCAAGCCTTTAGGCCTGTGCCTAAGCCAGGAGTGGCCGGGGTCCCGGAACATGACAGAGGGTGCAGATCGGGCTGAGGGGTCTGGCCCCACCCCTCACCCTCACCCCCAAGTGCACAAATTTTTGTGCACCGTGCTACTAGTTCAGCTATATAAATATCTAAATATATAAAAGCCTAATATGCAAAGTGTCCCCTCAGGAGTTTGGCCAATTGGGAGTTTGATCACTCGCTATGATGTGCACTGACCACCAGTGGGCAGTGCAGAATAAAGGAAGGCCCTGACCCTACCCATGCATGAATTTTGTGCACTGGGCCTCTAGTTAATTATAAATTATGAATTAATATTCTGTGATCTAAAGACAGAGAAACATTTGTAATTCTCTAAGTATCTGCCTTTGCAAAGGTTGATTTAAAAACAATGTGACACAGCAATTTGGAGATTTGCCAAGAGATTATTTTTACAAAATCATTTAGAATGCAACTGATAAATCCACACAATGGAGAGATGTCATAATTGTTCTAAAGAAATGACTTAGGGGCAGTGCTTGGAATAGGGTTCATGGATCTTCCAAGTGGATGGACACATCCACTTGTAGCAGGGTGATGCACCCCAACTCTGGCACCAGGGGCCCTCCCAGCTTTTGCCCTATGTATCTCTTCATCTGATTGTTCTTCTCTATCCTTTAACATATCCTTTAATAAGCTGGTAAATGTAAGTGTTTGCCTGAGTTCTGTGAGCCACTTAGCAAATTAATCAACTCCAAGGAGAGGGGTAGTGGGAGCCGCAGGTTTATTGGTCAGAAGCACAGGTGACAACATAGATTTCCAATTGGCATCTGCAGTGAGGTGGGAGCAGTCCTGTGGGACTGAGCCCTCAACCTGTGGGATCTGATGCTATCTCTAAGTAGATAGTGTCAGAATTGAGGTAGATTGTAGGACAACCCGCAGGCATCACAAAATCGTTTCTTGTGGGGTCAGAAGTGTTGTGTGGTAGTAGTGTGAGAGTAAAGGATAAACATAGGAGGAAGGACTGGAGGGTTGTTGTTGTTGTTTTAACTCAGGAAGTCAAGGCAGATTGTGGTTGAGAACTTATTAATAAAAGAGATTTATTAGTCCCACTGTAGCCTCAGATCATCCAGAGAATGTGTTTGTACTCCAAAGAGCTAAACAATTCACAGCTTATCCATGGTTAATGCAACTACCATGAGTCAGACAGAGATTACTAGTGAAGTCAGTGGGACCTAGCTGCAAGAAGAGTTCCAGACTACTGGGTGAGGTGCATTCACAAGGAAAAAGCATTGGGACTCAGAGAATGATTCTATGAAAGAGTAGAGCAGAGTATGGGAAGAGGAAGAATTTGTTGTAAAACTGATTTAGCAAAAGAGTGGTACCATAAAGAAATAAGAAAGCCAAGAGGAAGTGTAAGGATGAAGATATTGATATGGACTTCAGATATGATGAGGTGGAGATGCTAGTGGGATGTCCAGGTTGGGATGGACAGCCCATGATTGGGCTAAAAGCCCAGGAGAGAGGTTACTTACTTGTCTGACTCCCTGGGCTTTAGGAGGGCAGGGTTTCTGTCTCTTTTGTTCATCATTATATGCCCAGCACTTAGAACAGTGCCTGGCACAGAGTAAGCACTTAAAAATAGTTGTTGAATGAATGCATAAATGGGCAGATGAATGGGTGAATGAGAGGCAAATAATAATAACTATGTACATGTTTTTTGCTCCTTTGTTGCCTAGAATAGTGTTGGGCTTAAAGAACACTTGGGGGAATGATTGTGATGATTCTTTTCACTAAAATGGCTGTTTGTAAAATTATAACTAGGTCAGATGTTGGAAATATAGGAAGAACTCAAATAAATATTTGAAATAGAATCAAGTGTTGCACATTTTGTATCCTGTATCCCTAAGAACAGTCACCTGACTCAAGGGATGAGCATTCAGACCCGATTAGCTGTGGTCTGTATACTTTCTTGAAACTGGCAAGCACCAGCTCTAAATAACTCGAGTTCACACAAAATCAACAAAATACAATCTTCTTTAGGAGAAAGTATACCCGTTACAAAGATGCCATTGCCCCACATGGAGAATACAATGCCCTGGAAATCCCACAGCTCAGAGGACTATCGGAAACATGTTCTTTTCTGTGGCACAGAAGTGATCCAGGTCAAGCCCACTGAGCAGGGGCCAGTAAGAGCAGTTGTTTTGCGAACAGGTGAGTCAATTCCACTTTTGTAAGTTTAGTCTGTGATTGAAGGTGGGGGAATTGGATTTGGGGGAATCCTGTTGTGATTATGAAGTTTGCCACTTTCCAGCAATAACAGCCACACTCATTTTCAATCCGCTCTTATTCTAAATTGCCACCATTTTTCCACCATTTTCAACTGAATGGTTCATTGCTAAAACCCTTGTAGATGATGAATCAAACACAGGGATAAAGTATATTTCCTCAAAGGCAAAAGCGTGTTCTTGGTTTTTCTTGTGTCCTTCGGCTTCTTGTCTTCTCTTCTCTCCACCCTCTCTGAGTGCCAAGAAAACAGTTTCAACCACTATCACTTGAGAGCATTTTTCTTTCAAAGAGTTGCTTGCTGGGCTATTAAGATCCCTGCTGGCTATCTCCACCTGGTTGCCCCATAGACACTTCAAAGTCAAGGCATTTAAATGTGATCTCGTTCTCCTCTAGCACTTCTTTCTGTTGACAACATCACCATCTGGTAGAGTCTTCAGATTTATCTTAACTCTTCACTTGCTCCAATACCAAATAGGGCACCACATCCTGTCCACTCCACAAACACGTCCTGAGCCCTGTCTCCCTCTCCTTCACCCCCATTGTGTACAGGCCTTCACCATATCCTGTCTAAACCATTACAACAGAAACATTTCTTAACTGCTGCTTTCAACTTTGCCTCAAATACTTTTCCTTATGTTTTGTTCAACCTTTCTCTAGCCTATTCCTCAATCTGTCACCAAGTCACATCTATAAAACATAACTTGAAATGACTTATGCACACCATGCTTAAAAACTTTTCAAGATATTAGAATTAGTCCCAATCTTTCACATGATATCACATGGCCAACACCTTCCATGATCTGTCCCAGCTCTGGTGTTCACCCCTGACCTGTATTTCTGCCACCTGACATAGTCACAGACCTAAAAGGCGCCTTGCACTTTACCTCTCTACTACTACCTGATTTTTTTTCAAATTAAAAAAAAAGTTTTGTTCAAACTATTCAGTGGGCAGGAGAACATCTCTTGGCCTGCTGACAAGCAGAAGCCAAGAAGGGTAGAGATCATGAAAACCACCTGATTTGAGCTTTTAAAGTGCTGAGGCAGTGGTTCTCAACCTTGGCTGCACATTAGAATCACCTGGGAATCTTGTTAAAATCCTGATTTCTGGACCTCATCCTCTGGAAATTCTGTTTCTTTGTTACTAATGATGAGGCTCAGAAATCAGAATTTTAACAAGATTCCCAGATGAATCTAATGTGCAGCCAAGGTTGAGAACCACTGCCCTAACTGGTTTGGCTCAGTGGATAGAGCGTTGGCCTGCGGACTGAAAGGTCTCAGATTTCTAATGTGCAGCCAAGGTTGAGAACCACTGTGCTAAGGTAACAGGTTACAGGAAACTTTGCCCCTTTTCTCCAAAGCCTGAAAAGCCATGTTTCAGGAGACCAGGTGTCCATTAAGTAGTGGGATTAAGGCATGTTTTATATTTATAATACTGACTCATATCTAGAATGTATAGTAGTCAACCTTAGATATTAATAACTTAGATATTAATGAGTATCTACTAAGTGCTATGCACTGAGGACTCTATAGAAAAAAAATCGTGAGGTATTCCTTGTCTTTAAGGAAGATTTATGGTGTGGTGAGGGACACAGATGGATTTATAGCTAACTCAAACAAAGAGCAGTGTAGATGTCTTTGACCAAGTGTTATAGGCATTCCAAAAAGCAGAGAGATTATTTTTGATATGAACTATAAAAGTAGGGCTCTGAAAACATTAATTCGATGAAGTGGCATTTTGAGCCACGTCTGATAGGAAGGCATTTAACCAATCATATCAGGGAGCTGAGAAGACATGTTAATTTACATCTGAGAAACACAAAGGAAGGAAAGCACAGGGGTCTTCTGGGACCAGTGAGCAATTGAGAGGTAAGTCTAGCAAGGAAGGGGTGGAACAGCTTTAAGGGGACCTCAAATGCCATGCCTAGTTATGTGAACTTTATTCTAAAAAGTGGGTGTTCTGGTCGGTTTTTGAGCTTAAAAATGACATGATCAGAGGCATATATATTTAAGAAGTTACTTGCCTTGTGCATTGTTTTTCTCTTAATTTTCTATTATTTTCAATACATATTTGGTCTAAAACTGCAATGTGAGCTACTGACACAGTGACTCGCAAAGAAAGAGAAACCAAGCAGGGCTTCGGGAATGCTACTCCTTGTGCCCAGCGAATTGTGAGGAGAATAAATGTAAATACACTGTTAGGTCACAGCAATGCTGTTTTCATTCCATAGTCAAATGACCCTCCTAACAAACCATTTTTGGTTTGGGGAAACTAAAGGGACCTTCCTCTGCCTGTAATTATCTTCATGCAGGTTACAATACAGCCAAAGGGGACTTGGTGAGATCCATCCTTTACCCCCGGCCTCTGAACTTCAAACTCTACAGTGATGCCTTCAAGTTCATAGTGTTCCTGGCCTGTGTTGGAGTTGTGGGTTTTTTCTATGCCCTTGGTGTGTATATGTATCACAGAGTAAGTACTGAGGGTAAGGGTTTTTAATAGTATAGTTTTCTCAAGGAGTTTGACTTACCACTGAGTCCTGTTATTCTGTGAATCAATGCTGTCCAACAGAGCTTGCTTAGATGATGAAAATATTGTATGCAGCATAGACACTGTCTAGTTTGGTAGCCCTTAACCATGCATGCTTATTCAGCACTTGAAATATGGCTAGTGTAACCGAGGCAGTGAATTTTCTATTTTATTTTATTTTCATTAATCAGCCATTTGTGGTTATTAAAAATTGTATTAGATGGTGCAGCTACAAAAAGTTGCTCCTTTCACCACTGAGATGGGGATAAGAAGTTACTGCATTGGTGATACCCAAGCCAAATAGCTTCAGAGAAAATACATATTTCTTAAGCCTGATGTGATGGGGAGGATTTCATTAATCAGATCAGAGAGCAGGAAGGCCATACTAATTTGAGTGAGCAAATATAAAGGAAGAAATGCACACGGGCCTTCTGGCACCAGCAAGCAATTAAGAGATTAAGTCTAGCAAGGTAGAAAGAGATCAGATTGAAGGAGATCCTGAATGTCATGCCTAGAAATATGGATTATTTGTGAGTGTTGACATATTTGAGGGTGTACTCTGTCCAGGAAATACTTAACATACCATGCAGGCAATGGTTGGCCCTGTGTTTTGTTAGGTTCTGAGATGAAATTCAATGTCTACTTTTACAGAGCTGCATGCTGCATGGATTCCCACTTCCTTTTAAGCTTCAGGGTGTCTGTTTCATTTGAATGTCTCCCTCTTCATAGTTGTGATAGCTGGAGAGGGAAAGGTTGTCACAATGATCTCTGAGGTCCTTTCTGGTCCTGAGAGTCTGATTCTCTTGTGAGCTCTGTCATCTTTTCTGTGAGACATCTGAGATCTTAACAGTGTAGGCTCAAAGGAAAGAAGAAAAAAATGTGAATAAACAAATTCAAACATGGGTATGAAACTGAGTGGAGGTGTCCTAGTTATAATGCCCCAACTGGTAGCATCAAGTACTTTCTCTGTGTGTGTTGGAAGGGGAGAGGGGTGAATATTATGGGCAGAGACACGGTCTTAAGAATACAATGCACCAACTGGTAGCATCAAATACATTCTCTGTGTGTGTTGGAGGGGGGAATATTATGGGCAGAGACACGGTCTTAAGAATAACTAGGCGATGTTCATGCTCTCATTAGATCCCTGATAGTCCTTTCACTCTGAAGTAAGACTCCA